TAAAAATGAAGGAAAAGTTATTGATGTGATGGTAAATATTATTTTATTGAAAAATTTTGTGGTTGAAAATGAGTAGAAGAATGAGAATGAAAAAAATAATGTGTACCAAACAGAGCCTTAATGTTTAATTGATAAGAAAATCTCGTCCTTAATCATGATTTTCTTCTATTTCAACCACGATTCTTACTTTTAGGCCATCATTTGAATGAAATTTGGAATTTTTTGGACACTTTTTAATGGCATATAAATACAAATTATCAACACAATTAGGGGTGTGGGGGAATTGATTGCAAAAAGGAGGCAAAAGAACGCGTCGGATTGAATTTCAAGAGCTTCAAGATTGAAGTCAAGAATTTTTAGGCGATGAACATCTTTTGCTTTATTCTTCACAACATGTTAGGCTAAACAAATCTGATGATAGGGTTATGATAAAATCTTGTATCATGAACCTTTAATTCTTAGTTTTTCTTTTTGACATTCAAACACATTTCCAATTATTGAACCTTTTTCATGAAATTACCTTCTTTACAATTATGTGCACAATGATTGTATGAACATTGTGGCTTGTTTTAGTTTCGAAAGATGGAAGATAAGTTTGGCTTATTGTTAATCGTTGTAGAGTCCGATAAATGATAAGAGTGTACAACTATGCTTTACGTGATCTTTAAATATTGATAAATCTTTAATACATTCTTGTATGTTCGCATCCGTTAGAGAAATATAGTCGGATCACATGTGAGAATATGTTTAATTCTACTCGAAAAAGATTGTTAAACAATTTAGAATTATTGATCTTCAATGTTTGGATATGTTCTTGGATCTTGGAATAATGTTATAAGGATGTAATATAATAATGATCAACCACAACAAAAAATGTAATGGGTATTGGGTATTATTTATAATAGAAGGTATTTGAGGAGTATATGATGAATAGAACTCTTGAAATAAATATACTACATTGATCTACTCTTGGCGTAGAACACACTTGACCAAATGAATCTTTCATCTGACCATCGAGGCCCACTCAAATAATATGTCAAAAGTTGGTCAAACCAACTTATAAAACCAATTTCTCCAACAATTATCTCTAGATTAATCCAAAATACATCATTACTGAACGGTCATGGTTATAAGAAATTTTCATCCATTTAATTATATCAATAATTTTTGCATACTGTATTTTTTCTGATATTAATAAAATTATCCAGATTTAGAATTGGCCCAACAGCACGCATTCTTTGAATTTCATCTACAAAAATATAATTATTTATATATCCCGTATCTATTCAATTGATGGAGACAAAATATGTCTTAACATTTTTCGTGTTAACGAAATATCATCTTATTAAAATGCTTGTTCTTCAAATACATATTTTTCTCTGTATAATACGTGTCATTATTGTCATTAGTTCAGTAATCAAAAAATCTCGTGATTTAGATTAATTGTCTAATTTATTTATTTTTCCTATTACATTTTCACTATTCAATTTTCAGTTTTATTTAAGTCTAATTGTTTTATGCTTGGTTGGGTATTAGTGTGATTTTAAAAGAATCAGCTTATGTTGTATAAAAGAACCAGTTTCGAGAAGAATCACTTAAGTAAAAAGGATTTTTTTTAAAATTGATGTCTGTTTAAAAATCAGAATTTTAACATTTGGTAAATAAAAGTAATTTATCACTGTGCCATTGTATAATTATTAAAATGGACATTGATTATAATGATGTCCCTTTAAATTGTTATTTTCGTTAATAATATTTTAAAATTTTGTAATAATATCAAATATTTTCTAAGAAGTTATATTCACTATGATTATTTTTGAAAGTTACGAGTTCGATCCTAAAATCACTTAAAGATGGGTGAATATGTGAATAATGCGAAATTTGAAACTATCGTTGATTAATATTGCAACAAG